TTACCACTTGAGGCCCTATGTTCCACCAGGATACCACCTGAGGCCCAAACTTCTGTCAGACCACCACTTAAGGCCCTATGCGCCACCATAACACCACCTGAGGCCCGGACTTCCGTCAAACCACTACTTGAGGCCTTGAGCTCCACCAGGCCACCACTTGATGTCCAAAGTTCTTCCATAATACTTCCGACCTCCATCACTAGACAACGATCTTTATGACCATGGTCTCCTGTCGATTACAATCCTTCCGACCTCCATCACCTACTATGGTCCATCCTACTTCCATCACCAGACAACAGTCTTTCTGACATCGGTCTCCTGCATATTACTGTCCTTCTGCCCTACATCGTCGGACAATGATCTTTCTGACCTCGATCTCCTGCATATTACGCTCCTTCTGACCTACATCACCGGACAATGGTCTTTTTGACCCTGGTCTCCTGCCAAATATAGCCTTTTCGACCTCTATCCCATCGATTATGGTCCTGCCAACCAAACAAACATGTCCATATAACTCCCATCATGTAATGTGCTTTATATGATGTATGTTTGTGACATCATGCCAAGGCCTTCTCCTAAAGAAGGGCCTCATTTGTAATCGATTGCAAATACTAATGGATTCATTCAAACTAGGCCAGGCCCCGTGGTTTTTCCCCCTATTCCGGGGTTTCCACGTAAAAACTCTGGTGTTTCTTATGAATGCTACACCATCTCTCTTATTTGTTTGTGTTTGAATAGTTGCTATTTGAATGATTTATAATTGTGCAACTTATGTAGTTTTGATGATTCCAAACATTATTGTTCAAATGTATAGTTATCTCCTATCAATTTCAGAAGATTTGCACTTGCTCTTGTGTGTACTAACATTTCAGGAAAATCAGACTCCAGACTACGAAAACTTCAAATCAAATTCAACATGAGACTTTGAATTAATTTTGAAAGGGAGTGATTGTAATTGAGTGAATAAAATCTCACACACAGAAAATAAGGAGATCTTGAAATTCTATACTGATCGTACAGGACGATATTTATCGTACTGGACGATCTGTCAGTTATCTCCTATAGAGCACTTGGAACGAATAGGAACTTGCTTGAAAATTTTTTTTTCTAAGTCCTATTCGTCCAGGACGAATTTTAATATCGTCCCGGACGATGGGTTCTCTATAAAATTTCATCCAGACGAATTTTACCATCGTACGAGGCGACCAGTCCACTGGAAAATTTTCGTACAGACGAAAATAAATATCGTACAAGACGATCAG